TGTTCAAATTTTTTTTTTTTTTTTATTTTATTATTTTTCCGTCGTAAACACGAGTTTGAAAATCTTTATTATTATTATTATTATTATTTTTTCATTTTTCATTTCAACACGGAATGAATAATTGCGAACTTTGCTCCCTTTAAAAGTACTTCGAAAGATATATAAATAAACATTAACTTCGATGTACCACCACCAATACTGATAATATAAATCCTGTTCATTATCGTTTACGTCATAGAGCCAAGACAATAATAATAAAAATAAATGTCATTATTATTATTATTATTAATATTATCATTATTACTAATATTATTAAAATTTAATGAATAAGTAAAAATCAAACGTATTAAAAAAAAAAAAAAAAAAAAAAAAAAAAAAAAAGAAATTTAAAAGATTCTTTCTGAACAATATCGAAAACCTTATTTATTTATTAATAAATCTTATTCAAACAGCAAAGCTCCCCGTTAAAAATTATTTATTTATTTATTTATTTTTTTCTGACTTTTTAAAATCCAAGCATATTCCGAGATTTCCCGAAAAGATTTTTCATTAACACCCCCTAAAATCAATTTTCTCTTCCCCCCCCCCCAAACAATTTAATATCTTTGAAGCTCAATTTATTTTATACTTTTCCTGTTAGTTTTTTTCCCCCCCCCTTCCTTTTTTATATACGTATGCGTATAAATCTTTACATTCCCCCCCCCATTTTTCCCTGCGTTTTCTCATCTTCTCGTTTTATTCGAAAACCTCCTCGATACAAACTTACTTCGTTATTATTATTATTTAATTTGAAAAAAAAAAAAAAAAATTTTCAAACTCGAAATCATCAATTAATTTTTCCACGTTTCTCTCTTTTACCTTTTTTCGCCCCCTCCCCCTCCCCTATCCTTTTCTTCAAATAAATCTCACACCGCCACCTTCGATTTTATATTCTACGTAACATAATTTAAATTAACGGGAAAAAAAAAAAGCAAACATCATTTATTAAATGCGAGTTCAACCCTTGAGTTTCAACAGTTGAATTTTTTTCCATTTTTTTTCCATTTTTTTTTTTTTTAATATTAATTTTCCGAAATGAAAAACTTTAGGAAAATAAGTTTTTTTTTACCTGCATCTGGAGCTGGATGGTAAAATGATAATGCGAGTGAGACTAGGGCAGCAATTTCGAGAATTATAAGGGTCATATCTTGCAAAGCTTCCCATACTAATTGAAGGAACGTTTTCGGCGGCTTTGGAGGTATTGTATTAGATCCAAAAGTTTCTCTTCTATGTTCTATATCTACTTTTACGTCGCTAAGTCCTGAAAATCATAATTTATAACGGTTAATAATTACAAATGAAATACACACACACACACACAAAGTATTTAAAAAAAAAAAAAAAAAAAAATTTTTTATTATAAATTTAGTTTTCCACGTAAATTTACGATGGCATCAAATATTATTATTATTATTATTAAACGAAATCGTTTTGCATTTAATTATTCGCATGCAATCATTACGTAAACCTAAACCCATCATTTAAATTATTATCATTATTATATCAAAATTTCATATCATTTAATCCTTTTTTTTTTTTTCTTCCATAAAAACTATAAAATTTTAAATTTATACATGTATTCTGTTAATACAATAATATTTTAATTATGATAAAATTTAGTCAAAAATGCACATGAAACTCTTTAATTTAAAAAAAAAAAAAATTAC